CCTAGATTCTCAAAAAGCAACAGGGTCAGTCGGATCAGCAATTGCTAGACCCAGCTCTAGGAGGGCACAAAAAGATTCCTCTTGGCAGCAGCCTGGGTTTAGACTGGACCAGGTGTGATGCCATGGCCATTAGCCTCATTTTACTTTTAAATGAACTGGTTTAAGCATTCAAAAGGAACAAGATCTCTGGACAACCACAACAAACATATTTCAATTACTTAATCTGTTAGCATCATCGTCACGGAGCTGCATTAAGAGGCAGTCAACATAGCCAGTATCTAGAATGTATGATGATGGATGAAAAGGCCGAAATGCTACACCTATACACATGTAACCCCCGTTTCCAAAATTAGTGATCTAGAGCCTCATACCTCATAGAGGGAACATCCACCCAACTGACCAGCATCTGGAAGAAGCTAACAGCACATACACCTCCCTAAAGGTATGAACAGAAGAAAATCCAGGAACAACTCCTTCCATCTCTGGAGCATTACAAAAATGGACACATCTCCAAAGTTCTCCTTAGCAACACTTGACTACCATCTAATTGAAAAATAGTTTTTCCTAACTCTAAAATTGGGTAACATGAAAACATAGAACCCAGCAAAATTCTTTCGTTTGGGACCACTTGCCGATGATATTGGTTTCAATTTGTTTTCAAAAAAAACCCCAGACTAACCCTAGGACAGCAATAGGTGAAATCTTTTCTGAGGATCACCACTACTGGGCAAAAAATACTTTCATACACAAGTTCTTTATTGTCCTCAACCTTAAAGAATCATGTCTGTTCCTGTGTTAAACATTTTGGTGGTCACCTGAAGAAACTATCCATGCATTTAGAAGCACCCTACTCAAAGTATGCTGTCACATGCAAGCACAAGTTTTACTCTTTACATCCTGAGCTTTGTTACGGAGCTGCTTTGCTGAACTTCCAGATTTACACGAATATTATTTAATATTAAAGCTCATACGTGCTACATATTTTCTTTCGCTGTTCATAATCCAGTCAAGTACTCAAAACTCTTCTGGAGAGCAAGTTGATATAATCCAAAGGAATCAGGGTGGGGTGGGGGGTGTTGTTTGTTTCAAACAGAGAATCCTTACCAAAAAAGCATAACATTTTTTAAATTAACTTGATACCATCACAGTCCTGAAAATAGCTCTGCTGCAAATGCTACTGCTAATACCTCTATCTGAAGTACTCTTTTACTATAAATTCATTTGCAAAAGACACTGGCATGAACAACCTTTGCTTAAGCAGCAATGTGAATGATTCCTGAGAAAAGATGCCTGTTGCGGACTGAAGGATGAGGCGAGGAAACTCCCTGTTTGTGGCAGAATTTAAAGAAAAGCAAGTGAGAGGCAGAGAGAGAAATCTCCTTTTATCGGAGCAAGGGAAAGTGGCAGTCAGGAGCAGAAGATGCAAGGGCATAGGTCACGTTTAAAGGCTTTCTACAACAAATACAAATGCTTAATTTTAAACAAGCAAGACTTCAAGGATAGCCCTGCATAGGTCCTGTTGAAAGGCTTTCTACAACAGAGACAAATAATTTTAAACAGTCAGACTCCAAGGATAGCCCTAGAGGAACATTTTACTCTTCACAGGACCCAGACAGGACGAGCGTGGATTAAAGCCTGAGCCCCACATACCCAATCACGCATCTTTTGTCAGTCTCCAGTTAGAAAGGCACTTGGTAAGTCCAGGTTCTGAAAGCGACGCTGTGAAAGCAATCTGCCCAACCTTTCTCCAAAAAAA